TTATTGTTAGCTTAATCCAGTGGCCATATTTTTTTTTTTTTTTTTTTGTGAATAACACAAATTCGAAAAACAGAAATTCTTGTGATCGGTCACAAGCACTACACAACAGAAAACACGAGAATTCTCTCATGATCCGTTCGTAATATGTTCATTAATAAGATTAATCTATGATATAATAAATCGAACGGAAAAATTAAACTGGAACACGAAAAAAACAAACATTACGATTGACATTTATCCATTGAAATTCTTTCGCTAATACAATTCTTCATTTTTCTTTTGATTAAAAAATGTACTCATTAATCGACATTAAATTCTTTATCTCTTTGTCGCTTTTATTATGTGATACAATTTTATTACGTAAAGTGTAAAATAATCGTGAATTAACAAATCATAGTTATCGGAAATGATTTATATAATCTTTCTTTTTTTTTTTTTTTTTTTAACAATTTCATAATCCTTTAACTAACATTCATCAAAATAACATAATTTATTTCTATCTAAATGAATCGATCTTTGATAAAATCAATGATGTACATAATCAAGCCAATTTTGATATCTAGAATAATTATTATATATGGAATATTCAATATATATATATATATATATATATATTTGATCCGAATTTAATATTTGATTCAGTCTCTGTTTATTAGGAATACCAATGGAAATAATTAACAGAAATATCATGAATTATCTTAATGAAAGAACAATGATTTCGATTGATGTTTTTCAATACTCAATACCAAGTGAAAGATTTAATGGTTGATCGAATTATTTGCGCGTTAACACGACACAACGTTATTGACACTTAAGTCGATAAAACGAATCATATTCGTTGAACGATGAACGATCATTGTCAGGAATGAAGAATCGACAATTCGAAAGGTCCATTAACGTTTTAGCGAGATTTTCTCTCTCTCTTTCTTTCTCTCTCTTTCTCTCTCTCTCTCTCTCTTTCTCACTCTCACTTTTTCTCTCACTCTTTCTTTCTTGCTCATTCTCTTTCCTCGAAACCATTAGATCGGAGCATAGCTTATCGATAGATATCCATTAATTATCGATTGTCGCGAAGAAATTTCGCGCATAGCATTTGGACGCTACAAGCTTTATCGCGAAAATAATAATTTACAATAAGACGTAGATGAATCCTTTCTCTCTTTCTCCCTCTCTCTCTCGAAAAAAAAAAAAAAAATTAAGGACGACGAGTCTTTACAGATACGAGAATTACCGAGAGAAAAACATGTAGGTAGATGCGTATTATATTCACGCAAAGCTTTGCTACCTTTTTTTCGACGTCCATGTATCGTTTCACTGACAAATGTCGGAGTATCACGATATCGTAAAGTTCACATATAGTTAGTTACCCGCTATGAAATTTGTATTAGGTAGATATACCAGTAGCACGATTCACACGCGAACTTATTACCTTTTCTTTTTTCTTTTCTTTTTTTTTCTTTTTTTTTTTCGCGATTATCACGAGTACGATAATCGATAACGAAGTCGATCTAATCGGTAGATTATAACTTGCTGAACCTTTTTTTTCCATTTTTTCTTTTCTTTTCTTTTCCTTCTTTCTTTTTCTCCTTTTTCTTTTTATACTTATTCTTATTTTTATCGATCTTTTTTCCTCCACGCGTCTCGTTTCGTTACTTTTCCCTTTTTTTTTTTCTTTTTTTTTTTCTTTTTTTTTTTTTTGAACCGTGAGTGGGTCGCATAAAGACCATCGACGAGAACTATATCGGGATTTTTTTTTTTTTTTCTTGATCTTCGATCATTACTCATGCGGTTAACCGAACGCGTAATTCTTTCCTTTCGTCGTTGGACTCGTCGGGACGAGTCTCTCTCCGCAGCTGGCGGAGGACGACGGTTCCAGTTCGGTGGCGTCTTCTGTACCAGCGAAAAAGAGAGTGTGAGTTTAAGTGTGTGTGTGAGAGAGAGAGAGAGAGAGAGAGAGGAAGAGGGAAGAGGGAAATGGTCCAGCCTCTCTCGTACGTGAGAAATCGCGGTCCTCCTCTCTCGAGGAGGCGCGCACGTTCTCGCGGTCGTATCTCTTTAGAAGCATGAAGGAACGTGAACGGGAAAGGCGAGAGGAAAGAAGAATAAGAATAAGAATAAGAATAAAAATAAGAAGAGAAGGAGGAGAAGGAGGACGAAGGAGAAGAAGGAAAAAGAAGAGAAGAAAAGAGAAAGGAAAAGAAAAGAAAAGAATAAAAAAAAAAAGAGAGAGAGAGAAAAAAGAAAGGAAAACAGAAAGGAAAAAAAGAGAGAGAAAGAATGGAAAAAGAAAGAAAAAAAAGAGAAGAAAAAAGAAAAAAGAAAAAGAACGAAGGAAAGAGAATCCACGTGCTCCACGGGTGCCGAGTGTGCGAACGCACGGCGAGTGGTCCGAATCTCGTAGTATATAAAGGATTTCCGACTCTTTGTGGCGAGTGGCAACGGTGTGTTTAGGCGTTTGAAAATACACTGCGGAGCTTAGAATACGCGTCACATTGTATAATAATGTATCGCATATGGTGCATCTTGTAAAACTCTGCGGGCGTTCCTCCATCTCCCTCCTTCTCTTCCCAAGTCCCATGATCCTAGGAATATGTTTGTGTTTATGTATGTATTGTGTTTATTATATATGTAGGTAGGTAGATACATACGTACGTACGTATGTACCTATGTATGTATGTATGTATGTACGTATAAACCATAAGAATGTGTATATAAATGTCTGTATACTTGTGTTTATGTTCCGTCGTCGTAGACGAAACGGATGAAAACGTGAATGAGCTTATTCTCGTTTGCTACGATTCATTCATCAAGAGTAGAACCTGGTAGCATCCTGAGACGTCAAGTCGTCTTACGTGTTTTGTCCACGAAATAGAAGAAAACGGTGTTTGGTGATTCACAAGAAGTAAAAATTAAGTTGTATATGCAAAATCGTTAATAATGGCTTCTCTTAGATCCTTCATTCCTTTTTTCGAATCCTTTATTCCAAAAAATGTTCCCACTTTATCTTCTTCTTTGTATTTTTTTCCCCCCATTTCCCCGTTCTCCTTCTTCCTTCTTCTTTTCTCTTCTTATTCACGTTTCTCATCGATAAGTTTCAATCGAGATACGAGATATTATTGAGGGTAACTAACGAATCGTTGAAGGCAAAGTTCATGCGAAAACTAGGAATTTACCTCGAGGATTTATCTGTGGGTAGTACACTAATACGTCGTACATCACAAAGGCTAGCAGGCTCAATCGATCGACCAATACGCTCTACTAGATCCGATTAAATGAAAATACTCTGCTTTACGTGTACTCAGCGGAATAGGATCCAGCAGAGAGAGAGAGAGTAAGAGAGAGAGAGAGAGAGAAGGGGAGAGAAGTCTTTTGGGGTCGTCAATAGGATCACGAAATGACAACAATATGTCTGAAGTCAAGAGATCCTCCGGAACGAGAGACCTGTTTGGACTAATCCGTTAGATTAGGTCTTGTGGTTTACGGTTCGAGAGTTTCTTTTCATATAAAAGTCCCGGATCAGTAGTATAATAATAATACTCATTACTGCAAATACTTATGCGATATAAAAAGGTCAAATGGAAGATTACAAAGGAATTTCAATAAATATCTTAAAATTAATCTCTCTCTTTTTTTTTCTCCTTTTTTTTTTTCTAGACGATCCACAATTAATTATACAAATAAAATGATCGATCGTAATAATAAATATCTTAGAATTCGAATTGATATAAATGAAATCGGTATTACGTAATATATAATGATAGTCAGTGCTAAGAAAAATTTCCCTTAGATATTAATCTGATTTTTCAATTGACGATGACATTATCGAAGAATCTTTCTTTGGTCATTCATCGTATACATCCTCCTTTTGTTATTTACCGATTGACATTAATGATCTCGACGAAGAGAAGATTTCTGCCTTGTGAAATGTTAAACAGACTTTTGAAAAATACGGAAAGAAAGGGAAAGAGAGAAATGAGATAGTCACGTACTTATGGATATCCCAGGATATCCTGATGGTAGAAGAGGTTGGAGATGGTTGTAGAGGTTGCTTGTGCCGGCGGTTCGGATCCGGCGTTATAAGATCGGACACGTCTCTATCTAGGCTCTCTTCGGCAACGTACGGCCGCGTCGGGGACGCCAATATATTTGGAAGAAGCGGAGAACGAGATAGGTGGTTAGGTAGGTAGCTGTGGTGGATGTCGAGCGAGATAGTCGACCGGCTTCGGTAATGGAGACTGCAGGGTGCCGCTAATGCAGTAGCGATGTCACGGTGCCCGGTGCATCGGTATATTCCTTCCCTTCCGCCGTTTTACTTTCGCGGCTACTAAGCCGTGTCCTCTTCGCTTCGCGATATCGACGAGGCGTACGCGTCTCTCTCTTTCCCTCTCTCTCTTTTCTTCTCTTTTTTTCGCTTCCTTTTTATTATTTTCTTTTTACCTCTCTTTCTCTCTCTCTCTCTCTCTCTCTCTCTCTCTCTCTCTCTCTCTCTCTACATCGCTACGTTGTGCGTTGCCTTGTCTTGCCTTGCCTTGCCTTGCCAGCAGCGATCTCGAAGGCAGCTCGATATCTTGGCAATATCGGAGCTCTGAAAAAGGGGAAAGAGGGTTTAGCATTGGAACGACTTCGTTCGTCGAGGTAAAAGCCGTTGAATTTCTCTCTACCAACTCTGCTCTCTCGTCCGCTCTGTTTTTCAACGATTATTATTATTACTATTACTGTTGTTATTATTATTATTATTATTATTATTATTATTATTATTATTATTATTAATATTAATATTAATATTAATATTAATATTACTGTTATTATTATCATCATTTAGATATTATCGTTATTATTAGCGAGCAAATTAGATAATACCGGATATATAATTAATTTCCACAAGTATAAATATACATACTTAAATACATGCATACATACATATATATATATTTATACCGATTTCTATCGAGGTTATGGTGTTTTCGAAAACTTTACCGTACTCTATTATATGTTTGCAGGATGTTTGGGAGCCTAAAGAGATGTGCGCGATGCCAAGCGGCAATACTCGCCTCGGAGTTGGTGATGCGCGCGCGCGACTTGGTTTTCCACGTGCGTTGCTTTTCGTGCGCGGCGTGCGCGGTCCTGTTGACAAAAGGCGATCACTTCGGTATGAGGGACGGGACAGTTTTGTGTCGGCTACATTATGAAATGGGCGCGGAACTTCATCCGGCCCAGAGCCCACCGGTTCCTGTTTATCCACCGGGTCCACATTACGCCGGACAATTTCCATCTCCCGAATTTCTCCATCATCATCACCACCACCATCATCATCATACGACGGTCGCTGCGGCCGCGGCAGCGGCAGCTGCGGTCGCCGGTCATGGGCCACCTCATCCACATTCGATGCACCCTCAACATCCTCACAGTCATATAAGCCCTGTGCCGCTTCAACCCTCAACGCCGTCAGTCCCCGACGCCGGTTCACCTCCAAAGGTACCCTATTTCAATGGAGCAGCGGCAGCGACAACAGTTGTACCACCACCGAGGCAAAAGGGACGACCAAGGAAAAGGAAGCCTAAAGATCTCGAGGCTATGACCGCCAGTCTCGGTGAGCTTTCTATTTACTTACGCCTATTTTTTTTTTTTTTTTTTTTTTTATCTTTTCTTTTCCCTATTGTTTTCCAAATACCCTGAACGTTCGTAAGAAACGTCGTAAGATTTTCTTTTCTTTCCATTTTCTCTTTTTTCTTTTTTTTTTACCTTTTTATTTTTGTTTTTTTTTTTTTTGTTTTTTTTTTTCTTTTCCTTCTTTGACGAATCTTTCTTCCGATCTATCATTACTTTTAAACCGGAAACTAGCGTTTAGATCAAGATCATTATTACGCACCAAAATTCCATTCGACGCGTACTACCAATACGTATATCTACCTACATATAGTAGTAAATATGTGAGAACGAAGAACAGGATTTCAATACATGTTTCCCCCTGCCCCCCCCCTCCTCCTTCTTCAATGTAGTAGGATATCTACTCGCGTAGATCGAGGAAATCCCAGAGAAACGAACGAAGAAACGAATGTTTCTTGCCCGACGATGAAACCAGAGTGAGAGAATGAGAGAGCGAGTAAGATAGATAGATAGATAGAAAGAGAGAGCGAGAGAGAGAGAGAGAGAGAAAGCCCTTGTTCCGGATACACGAATCCGATTCTCCTTTCCGCGTGATTTATGGGACGCGTGGGCGTGCGCCGTTTGCCACCGAACCCTGATAAAATTTGTCGCTACGACATAAATTCACGAATCCGATCCCGAAGGAAGCGCGTACTTGGACGGACTCGCGTGGGCAGTGCCGCGGACACGAGCTCCTCGAGAACTTAATTTCGATTGTTGACCGACCGTGGGAACAACAACTTCGACCGAGTCTCTTCTTCTTATCTCTCTTTCTCTCTCTCTGTCTCTCTCTCTTTCTCTCTCTTTCTCTCTCTATCTATCTATCTATCTTTCTCACTCTCTCATACGTGAAACCACTCTTCTACTCTTGCTCATTCTATCCTTTCTTTTCCTTTTCGCTGAAGGAGGTTGACCACTGTCGCCTTGTCTCCTGTTCCCTCCTCCTCCTCCTTCTCCTCCTCCTCCTTCTCTTCCTCTACCTTCCTGTTCCTCCAGTTCCTCTATCTACCTAGCTCGTCGTCGTGGAAAAGGATCTTGGATTTCTTAGCAATCTTCTCTACTAACTCGCAATCTCTCTTCGGTATATGGCCAACCCTTTTCTCTTTTCACTCGGTTTAACATTTTTCATATTTCAAGCGGTTCATAGCGGATTTATATCTTCGTCGTTGAAATGTAGAGGTATGTAACTACTTAGGATCTATCGATCGTTTTAATCTAAGCGTATGTATTGGTAAGTACCATAGATAGATAGATATATATGTATGTATATCTACGTTCCATTCGTTTCCGAGCTTGTGATTCGCGGCAAGAGGGATATCGGATCTCTCTCAGTAGCAGGATAGGATCGATCGTTCGATGGAGTTATCCCGACATCGACGATCGTAGTGTTTCCAAGAGCGCGCGCGCGCGAAAGAGAGAGAGACAGAGAGACAGAGAGACAGAGACAGAGAGAGAGAGAGAGAGAGAGAGAGAGAGAAAGAAAGAGAAAGAGAGAGAGAGAGAGAGCGAAAGCGATAGGACGAACCGTCGGAAGTGTACGTCGTTTGCCGTTGTTGCCCGCCACGAGTCTATAGCGCTGTTTGATGTGTATCACGGCTCATTAGCTCCTTGAGTGCAAACAAGAAGGGTGATAGCGTATGCGAAAGGCCGCTGGATACACGGCCAATTACAACTCTATGCAGCAAATAGTTCGCAGGCACGATACCTCGTTTTACCGTGGATATATATATATATATATATATATATATATATATATATATATGTATATGTATGTATGTATGTATATACATATATATATATATATACCTAACTACGTATTTACTATAGCCAATCCCTTTTGCCTTTACGATAGTCCTTACCTTCTTCGTCTTCGTTGTGTTAACTCTTCGGATTTATCTTTAACTTTCGAAAATGTACATTCTAACCAAAAAAAGATACGACTATTCTAGGTGGAAATCTAATCAAAGTGATTCGATTTACGTTTACAGACTTGAACGCCGACTATATAGACATGCCCTTCGGAAGAGGCGGTCCTGGGACTCCAGGCATACCTGGCTCCAATAGTAGAACAAAACGAATGAGGACGAGTTTCAAGCATCACCAGTTAAGGACGATGAAGAGTTACTTCGCGATCAATCACAATCCCGACGCGAAGGATCTCAAGCAGCTTTCCCAGAAAACTGGCTTGCCAAAAAGGGTACTGCAGGTAAGCTTTAATACCCTTCCCTCTCTCTCTCTCTCTCTCTCTCTCTCTCTCTCTCTCTCTCTCTTTCTCTCTCTTTCTTTCTCTGTCGCGGACGATGATTCCGCGAGCATGCTATCCGAACGCACGCGCACAGAGGAAGAGATAGATCGAGAATCTTTTCTCTCTTTCTCACGTCCCTTTACGGCATTTGAACTGCTTTTTTTCTTCTTCCTTTTTCTTTTCTTTATTTCTTTTTTGTTCTTTTTTCTCTTCTTTTTTTTTTTTTTTTTTCTAGAGCATTCTTTAACGCACTAGCTACTCGACTATCGAACGGTAACAACGGACTTGGCTAGATATATTTCATATCTACGTTGGTATCTACTAGATAATTTCTCAAACGATTTTGAATGACTTATGAATAAAATGGCTTCTCTACAATTTCGTAACGCGTTCGTACTTACCGAGAACAGATTGGCCAACTGGTTAAAGAGAAACTTTCTTCTCGATGACTCGTATCTACGTAGAACGTTTTCAAACTTTCACGATTGTCCGGCGTTTATTAGAAAATGTTTCGAGTATTAGAGCGTTTATAAATTATTTTTGTTAATGTAAACACGCGCACCGTTGCCGTATCTTATATCTTTGATCGAGAATGATTCTAAACGTCGTCGTCTCATATAACGACGTCCAACGAAATAATTTTCCTTAATGTTTCAACCATCCAAAAGAAGCTTCTACGTTCTCGTTGAGAACGTAACTAAGAAGTACTACTCGTCGACATTTCGTTATTCTATTTCAGTGTTCCAATGCAAAACTATATTTATACTTGCGACATATTTTCATGTAACGAAGAAGACAAGAGGATCTTTTAAACATACGCAATTATGAACTTTCATTTTTCTTTTTTCTTCCAATCTACCAATCCTAATCTACTTCACAATAAGTGTTCATCTTTATAACAAGAAAAAATATCTTCACACGGAAATATCTCATTGCTTAATATATTCCGTAAAACTCGTGCAAATATCGCGATAATTTTCATCTCTTCGAATTTTAAAACTTATCAAGTTTAAAAATAGAATATTCTATTTAGAAAAAAGAGAAAAAAGAACAAAAAAAGAAGAAGAAGAGAGGAAAAAAAAATCAACGCTTTAAGATAAACGAAAGAGGAAGCGGTCGAGATCTCCCTTCCAACGTCCCTATCATTCAGATAGCACCAATCACTTTTTCTTATCCTCCGATGTCCGGACGCGTTCTTTTGCGGTTTCGGAATTATTTTCATTTTCGTTCATTCTTCTTCTCGATAGCATTGACAAAGAATTAAAATTAAAAAAAAGGAAAAGAAAAGCACGAGAGAGAAAAAAAGAAAAAAAAAGAAAAAAAAAAGAAAAGAAGAGAAATAATCGCAAACATCAGCAAGCATCAAATAAGATAGAATAGATATCGATATTATTACTATGATCACTCGTTGAAATGATAAGAGATGATAAATCAATATCGAAATTGTCGAAGAATTTAACTATCAAGTGAATGATCATAACGAAGCGAACGAGACGAGACGTGGAGATATGAAATGATAGATAAAGGGAACGAGGAGATTGGTGGTTGAAAGTTGAAGGTTGGAGGACGAGAGGCCGAGAGGGAAGGTGCGAGAACCGAAGCTCGTCGCACTCGAGTCCCGTCCGACAAAACTTAGCCGGGCGTAGATTTTGACTTGCGCCGGATTGACGGAGGGCCATAATTACGGAGAAAGGCCACGGGCTCGTCGACGGAAATATCACGCGGACGCGCGGTTCTTTTAACTCAACGGCAGCCGGTCCGTGCCGCACTAATTGGGAGGAGTGCGCTCGAGTGCGAGCACGCGCGCTCTACGCGTTCTCCCGCGTGAATATTTTTATAGGGCTGCTACCTACCCGTTTCAAAAAGGGCGAACATGAACGACGAACCACCGACTATCCATCTTCTCGCTTGGTTCTCTCTCTCTCTTTCTCTTTTTCTCTCTGTCTCTCTTTCTCTCTCTCTCTCTCTCTCTCTCTCTGTCTCTCTCTCTAATACATACATACATGCTCGTTCAACGCCAGACGCAAGATATATTTTTGTAGTTACGCATTGTCGCATGGATATTTGGTAATCTATACTTAGAAACCCTCCGCAAGAGAATTTATTAAGCGTATCGAGTCTCATTCTCATTCTCTCTCTCTCTCTCTCTTTTTCTTTTCTCTCTTTCTCTCTCTCTCTCTCTCTCTTTTTCTTTTCTCTCTTTCTCTCTCTCTCTCTCTCTTTTTTTTGGAATTCATAACTCGGCGTTTGATTAACGCTTTCACGTTGAATTCTTTCTCTTTATTTTTTTTTTGTTTTCCTTTTTTTTTTTTTTTTTATATAATAATAAAGAAGAAAGAAGAAGAAGAAGAAGAAGAGATAAAAATAAAAGAAGAAAAGAAAGAGGGAAGGAAAGGAAAAGCCCAAAAAAAAAGAAACCAAAAAAAAAAAAAGAAAAAAAAGAGAAAGGTTTCGACTTGTAGAAAACATCGACGTGATCCCGATATAATCGTGAAAGGCATGCTTTTCAAAAGGGTGAAGAAGAGTAAAAGAGAAAGAGAAAGAGAAAGAGAGAGAAAAGAGAAAGAGAAAGAGAAAGAAAAAGAGAGAGAGAGAGAGGTGTCCTTGGAGCGTCGAGTGCGGTAGGAAAAGAAGAGAGAAAAAGAAAATGCGGAGTACCGACGATGGTAGAAAGAAAGAGAGAAAGAGAAAAGAGAAAGAGAGAGAGAGAGAGGAGAGAGTCAAAGATACAGGGAGAGAGGAAGAAGGAGAGAAAGAGTGAGAGGAGGAGAAGGAGGAGGAAGCTATTGTATTCGACGCGGCGTAGGGTTCTTGGTCGCCATCTTGCTTGATATTGATCGCGAAACGCACGAATACTCGCTCGCGGCTGCGTTTAGTATATCTATATACATACAAGGAGAGAGAGAGAAAGAGAGAGAGAGAGAAAGAGAGAGAGAGAGAAAGAGAGAGAGAGAGACAGAGAGAGGAGGAAACGTAGAAACGGTTTCTCGTAGACACGAGTTGGGTGTGCGCGCGCGCGCGCGACCGCGCGCAGGGCCGTCCGTCCTTCGAAGGCAAAGGGGGAGGAGAGAGAGAGGTCCTCCTCGTTTCTCCGCTTCTCGTCGACGTCGCAGCAGCTCGGTGGCTGTTTCGGTTCGCGGGGGAGGAGACTATCTTGAAAATGGCGACGTGCATCGAGAGCACACGGCCGTCTTTTATCTATCGGGAGAATAAAAAGGAAAGGGTGAGGAGAAGGGCGAAGAGAAAGAAGGGAGGTACAGAGCGAGAAAGAGGAAGAGGATTTCTCCCCTACTATCCTCTTCCTTTCGTTATATATTGTACTATTGTGTCGACGATGTAGTTATATACTCGTTGCTCTATGAGAAAAGGGAAACCCTTTTTCGTCCTTTCAAACTTCCATTTTCTTTTTCCTTATTTCTTTCTTTCTTTCTTTCTATTTTCTTATTGGGTTCTCTTATTCTCTCGTCATATTTATCGTACTTGTCAAATGTCTCGTTCTTTCTATCTCGTTCTTACTCTGGATAGATATATTTACACACACACACACACACACACACACACACGCACACACAAATATACATATATATGTAATACTTATATATTTAAAATCGATATACCTTAGGATAGGTTTTAGATATAAGATGAAGAATCTTTAAAGGCGTATTCATTTAAAGATCTTACGTATTAGTATTCGGTCGACCTAGTTAATAAATCCCTTTTGGAATATCGTACCTCGTGGAAGAGCTCCGAAGCGAGAATCTGACGCGACTCGCGCGGAAATAGAATCTCTCGACGACTTTGACGAATTTCGTTAGGAAGGAGACACAATGGTGTCTTTGACGGGCCGCGGATCGACCCTCCCCCTTTGCTTCTTCTCATCGCGTTATGAAGCGAATCGTTTGTGCGGTCATCTCGCCGACATAAATCATGCTCCGTGAATCTCCTTTATTTATTTATTTTTCTCCTTTTTCTTTTTTTCTCTTTCTCTTTTCCCTTTTTCTCTCTCTCTCTCTCTCTCTCCTTTTCTTTTTTCCATTTTTCGTTCTCTTTCACTTTTTATACCTTCTCTTTTCGATCGTACTAATGTTTTTCATCGTACGACAGTAAAAACATTAACGATATACTTTTCTCGTAGAAATTATCTTACGATTATGATTATAATATTTATTAATCACGAATGTTAATATTTAAAAAATGAAATTATTTATCCGAGCGTATCCCTTGGTCTTTTTTCTTTTTGTTCGCAGGTATGGTTCCAAAATGCACGTGCCAAATGGCGACGTATGGTATTGAAGCAAGAAGGAAAATCGGACAAGTGCGATAGCGTTGTCGACGGAGGTTCCTTGGGTGATCTCGAACTTTATGGCAACAGCGGCGGAAGTGGTGGTCCACCGATGAGCCCTCCCTTCATGTTAGGTGGTCCCCATAGTCCGGCATCCCTGGCGTCTTTGGATTGCGCGTGATCGACCATTGGAATTTGCACGATTGACGAAGACAATTCAATTCAAAGCAAGAAAAAAAAAAAAAAAACGAAAAAAAAAAACGGAAAAAAAACACAAAAAAAAACCAAAAGAAAAAAACAAAAAAAAACCAAAAAAAAATAACAAAAAAAGAAAAGAAAAGAAGGAGAAAAGAAATGACACAAAATGATCACTAGTTTCTTCTTCGGAGTGAAGGGCAGGCAGGGGGAGGGGGAGAGGTGGACGAGGGAGGAGGAGGAGGACGAGGAGGAGGAGGAGGTCTGGCTCGACGCTTCCAAAAGGCGATTCGTTGTTTCTTCTTTTTTTTTTGCTCTCTCTTTTTCTTCTTCTTCTTCTTCTTTTCCTTTTTCTCACTCTTTTTTTTTGTTTGTTTGTTTGTTTGTTTCTTTTTTCTTCGATAAATCCCCCTTTCGTGCAAAAGTTTCCTTTCTCTTTCGATGAATCGGTGGGAACGAATACCGGCCAATCGAGTACCAATGGAGATTATCATCGATTTATAGAAACTCTATTTGTGTCGTGTTACGAAATTTAAAAAGGAGACGAATGAAAGAAAGAAGGAAAGAAGGAAGGAAAGAAAAAAGAAAGAAAGAAAGAAAGATAGATAGAAAAAAAAAAAGAAGAATAATAACTTCGTAGGAAAAGATAATCGAAAATAGTCGAGAAAATTCCTTGTATTTATTGTAGTCCTAATCGGCGAACGTCCGTGAACATCCTTTGTTGTATAGAAAAAGAGAGCTTCGTCTCGCTTAAACCGAAGGGAATTATTTCTTAAGGATGCCAAGGAAGGGAGCCTTACTGCTGAAAGCAATGTAATTAGCTAACGATGTCTATTTATTGGTGTAATCGCTCAGAGGTAATAAAAAAAAAAAAAAAAAAAAACGAAAAAAAATGAAAAAAAGAAAAAAAAAAGGAGAAAGAAAAATGGAAAAAAAAACGCAAAAGCATTAGCTAACCGATAAAACGATTACGATGCAAGCGAGCTGCCCTGAAATTCGACGTTTCGATACTTCTCGATACATCCTTTCTTTTCTTTTTTTTTTCCTTTTTGTTTTTTTTTTTCTTTTTTCTTTTTTTTGTTTTTTTTTTCCCCCGACAAAATCATCTCACGCGACGAGTGATACATAACGTGTGAGTATCTAATATATCGATTTTGGATCAATCGGAATACATTTGCTCGTAGATTTCTGAACACGTGAAAGGAAAGAAATAAAAGGAAATGTAAAAAAAAGAAAAAAAAAAAAAACAAAAAAAGAAGAAAAAAAGAAAAAAAGAGAAAAAAAGAAACAAACGAAACGTTGAATTTCGTCGACGATGTAATTTCGTCTCGATATTTATAATACAATACCGATCGCGATTTTTCTTGCTCGAAGAAATGAACGAGCGATGAAATCCTTGACGTAATTATCATAATTGTTGTATATAAAGGACGTTCCTCGAGTTCTTCTTAAGGCACCGCTATAGGTTGTAGGGTTATAATTGCATTCGGTAGCGGTCGTGTTTTAGACAACAGGTAATAATGATGATGGCGACTATTATTATTATTACTTCTATTATTAATATCCTTGTAACGAATGGAACGATTGTCTAATTTTACAAGATGATTTTTTCATTGAATATATTTTGACAATATAGATACGTTTGTCGATTACTCATAACGACCCAGCTTAGTTCCTCTTTCACCTTTCGATAAAGTTCAATTTATCATTATAAAATTTTTTATTCGAGGTCAAGAGAATGGACGTTGAAGGAAAATCAATAATATCTTTTACGATCGATTTGCTGCTTTTCTTGATTATCATGCCATTTACTATACGTAAGTATTTATTACTTTAACTACGATCGTAAAATACCGAGAAAAGGTAAGTCCATTTTATATATTAAACGTTCGAACTTAACTTTACTAATCCTCGAGGAAGGAGGAAAAAAAAAAGGGAAAGAAAAATAAATTGTCATGAATTTTGCACGAACATAAACGATACGAAGAGTCGTAAGAGACGCGAAGAAAGCGGGGACCGATTTTTCTCGTTGAAACGATCGTGTTTTCTTGTTTTCTTTTTTCTTTATATATATATATATATATTTTTTTTTCTTTTTCTTTATTTTCCTTTCTTTTGCTCTCCTCATTTCTCAGCTTAGTTAACTCTCGTAAAATTTTCAAATCGGCAATCGTTACGTGAAATACATTTTAATTAATGGAAATAATATAAAACGAATCGATTGAATTAAAATTTGATTTCTGTGATTTGAATTTTTTTCTTTTCTTTCTTTTTTTATGTAAAAGCAAAAAGAAAAAAGAAAAAAAAAAAGAAAAAAGAAAAGAGATAATTAAGAAGAAAAAAATAAAAGAAAAACCGGTCAATTACAGCGAAACTTCAAGATGCTACTATGATACTATGAATAAAACGACTTTCTAGTATAGCATTTCCTCGAGATAGAAATGTACACGTAAAAGAAGATAGTACCTACATATATATTGTATGTATATATGTTTATATATACATATATATATATATATATATATATATATATATATATATATATATATATACACGAATGTGCCTATTTTCGAATGGCTCTCGTACATCTCTCGTGGGCATATTTGCAAGCACAGAAGCCGTACCGATTTAACGGCTCGATTATGCGAAGCTATGAAACGCGATGCACCTCGCGGTGCCGGGACATTAAAATTGAAATTATAAGCTGCCGCGGCAGATCGAATTATGCAAGAGTACATAACCGTCTACGTGTAAATTTTCTTTTGCCTTGCGTACATAACGTTGCCCGCCCATAAAAGTCCTCATTAGTTATCCGTTTATCTCCTTGGCTCCTTACTCGTTTTCTTAACCTTCCCCCTTTCTCTCTTTCACCTCCTTCTACACTTTTTCTCCTCCTTATTCTCCTCCTTCTCCTCCTACTCTTCTTTTTTTCCTCTTTATTCTATTACACCGATAATCAATATTTTCAATATTATACTTTCCGTAATCATTCAATCAAATTTCACTTTTAACCCGTATTATCACGTTTAATTCCCATTTATCCATGATGTTATTAAATGTAAGATTTCATTTTAAACGCTTAAACTTTCGATTCTTATACGGGTTCGTTCTTTTCTTTTTTTTTTTTCTTTTTTTGTCTCTCTCTTTTTCTTTTTTTTTTTTTGTTTTTAAGAGAAAGAGAAAGAGAGAAGACTTTTCCGGCGGAAGAAGGGGCTACTCCATTTACGGTAAGACGGAAGGTATATACGCTTGAATCTTCTCTTATTTTCCGTCTCTTTCCTTCTTCTTCTTCTTCTTCTTCTTCTTCTTCTTCTTCCTCTTCTTTTTCTTTTTTTCCCACTTGTGGCCCATGCAATATGCATCGAGTAGGTAGCAGGGGCCCCCGTGGTCGTCGAGCTAACGCATGACGTACTACAGCGTGATACGATTTCAAGTCGAGATTATTCTTTGAATTCTAAGACGTTTCAAAGGAAACCATGGAAGTAAGGATGAAAGAAAGAAAGAAAGGAAGAAAAGAATGAAGGAAGGAAGGAAGGAAGGTAGGAAGGAAGGAAGGTAAGAACGACGAAGAAAAATAAGAAAATAGAAGAAAGAAGAAAATCAGGAATCAAGAATGATAGGCCAAAGGAATTGATACTGAGAAATGTTGTTCTGAAGAGAAAATCCTTTTATATCTTTCATATATTCGAATAATTCATATTTTCTCTCTCTCTCTCTCTCTCTCTCTCTCTCTCTCTTTCTCTCTCTTTCTCTTCATATAAAATTTGCTTCTTTGAGAATAATAAAAAGAGAAGAAAAAGAAATAAATAAAAAAAAAAATGAAGAAAAAAAATATTAAAATAAACAAAGTAAACAATTTATTGTTTCAATTGTTTTTTTTTTTTATCTATCTTACACATTTTCTTCGATTTATGATAGGAACGCGCTAATGTTCTCCAGTTACTCATCATTGTCATTTACGCGTCTTCGAAAGAAAAAAAAAAGAAAAAAAGAAAAAAAGAAAAACAAAAAAGTAAAAAAAAAAAAAAAAAGAAAAAAAGAAGAAAGAAAAAAGAATAGTCGATCGATATTTCTTTTGTTTGAAAAACCATAAGGGTAAATCGAAAACGAGCGCATTCGATTCACATTCGACGAGCGTTCATTCTCGAACTCGATGAGGCGTGATCGAGGATATCAAAAGATTCCTAGATCTTTCCTGTGATGTCAAGCTCTTCTCCAGTGTTCTCCGACCGGTTCGAAATGGATCGAGATGTCGATAACGCGGATGATCGATGCCAGCTTCGGAGACAAGGGGAGAGACCTTTCGATAGACAACGGCGAGACCGTGTCGCCTCTTGGCGACGTCTCATTTACTTCGTCAAATACAACATGACTTCTCTTCTCGTCAAAAAAAAAAAAAAAAAAAAAAAAAAAAAAAAAAAAAAAAAAATAGAAAAAAAAGAAAGAAAGAAAAAATATCCTTGAGAAACCTTACGCAGCCGTTATCTGTCTCTATTTCACGTGCGGATTATCATATATATTAAAATATTATATATATATATATATACACACATACACACATATACACGATACGATTTTACGATCGACGACTCTTTTATATACGACTGTTGGAATCGTTAAATTCATAAAGCAATCCTTGTGTATCACCGACTCCATTAGTTACGATAATGGGAATCGCCGGGATGACTTAATGCACGTATATACAACAGAGATATACATACGAGATGTATGTATGTTAATAAAAAAGGGAACGTGCATAATCGGAAATATAAGATTCTCGGGCGTATCAAAAGAATACACGTGACTGTACGAGCATGTTCCTTGTTGAAAATCGCATAAATATAAGATAACGAATGAACGATTGAGTGAGAAAGATAGTTAAAGATAATCACCTAAATAACATAAACGTATATTAAAGTTCTACGGGATTTTCATAATATTCTTATATGATTGTTAAACAATTCATGATGATTTTATCTAATAATATATATAATAATATATCTTTTTTAAATTTATTAGATAAATATGGAAAATGCGAATTGTTAAGCGATTTATAAAGCAAAGCGATTAATGTAGGAATGACGATTAACGAATTAAATATATTTACATATGTAAATTGATTTATGATTTAAAAGAATTTATGAATAATTCGATATATTCAAATTTCGAGAAAGAAATGGAATTATATATATATATATTTTTTTTTTCATCGATTTTCACGTTCATCAATCGAAAATTTCACCAAGAGTGAAATTTTCTACTAGTACCTTCGTTCCCTCTCAAATACCTTTGCTTGGTTGCATTTCTCTCGAGTTTACGATTCGTAGATTCAACATCTCTCTCTCTCTCTCTCTTCCTCTCTTTCTCTCTCTCTTCATCCTTCTCGTTTCCACGTTTGCTTCGCAGTCGTATCAGAGGAGCCCTTTTTCGCGAATACTCTCCGCGGTACTCGCGCAACCCTTATCCCGAAGACCTTTAACGCCCTGGATCGAGTTCACGCTCGAATACCATCCGACAAGGAAATACGAGAGACTCCTTCTCGGTGTTCCTCTCATTTTTTTTTCCCCTTCTTCTTCCTCTTCTTCTTCTTTTCTTTTTTATCCTTTTTTCTTCTTTTTCTTTTTCTTTTTTTTTTTTTATCGCTCGTGACTTCGCCAACGAAACGACATTGAATACTACCAAGATGGAAGATACGACTCGTTGGAATTTTTCGTTTTCTGTCCTTTTTTTTTGTTTTCTCTTTTTTTTTTTTTTTTTTTTTTTTTCCTTTTACTTCTCTTTTCCTCTATCCACAGACAATTCCCATAGAAATATCACGTAGACAATTTTATATGACAAAATATTCTAGGAAATATATTATTCAATAATCGATTTCAATGTTAGATTAAAAAATATAATACGATATGAATGTCTTTGTAAAGAATATAGAGATTTAATTATGTATATATTAATATGAAATATTTAAGTGTATTATAAAAAGGGCTTTGAAAAAACGCACACACGTACTGTTAAAAAAGAAAAGTTGTAAAAGTACAAAAAAATAAAAAAAAAAAAAAAAAAAAAGAAAAAAAGGAAGAAGAAATGAAATTTAGTTGTACTTTTCATTGTTCACATATTCACATACGATTCATATTTTCATACTTGTAACTTACACGTACGTTCTATCATCCCCTTTACTTATCCTTGCGAATCATTGAGTATTTATATTTTTTCTCGTTAGATCTATAGATCC